GGCATAGGGTTTAGGGGTTTAGGTGTTTTAGTGGTTTTAGGGGTTCAGGCTTTAGGTTTTAGGGTTCAGGGTTTTTGGGTTTTAAGGTTACGGGTTTAGGGGTACCGTTGAAACTAAAAACCTTGCATGACTTCAGCATACTACAATACCATACTTCCCAGGGCTTATGCTACCCAGGGCCAGGATCTTCTGGTATCCACCATACGGCTTGAGGGTTTAAGGGAAGAAGCCCCGGGGTGTGAGGTTTGGGTCTGGGCCCGAAGGAAGAATCGTGAGGGCTGGGAGACGACGTTTAACGGAATTTCCGAGACCATATTGGGGTTTGGATTTTAGTGTTTAGGGGTTAGGATTTTTGGTGTTTAGGGTGTATGCAGATTTTCGTCGGGTTCGGAAACTCTTCACTTCACAGGTATCTCCCATATGTACCATGTTGGGGGGAGTATTTGTTTTTGGTCATTTCATAACAGCAGGAGGATTTATCAACCACAGACTGCGAAGCCTGCACCAATACGAAGCATCCACCTGAAGCAGGGGTCCCCTGTTACCCACCAAGAGGACTCAAATCCCTAAACCCTAAATCCTGAAACCTTAAACCCTGAATTACCAAGAGGACTCAGATCCCCTGAGCATCTCTTACCCTTGAACTCTGGGCGCCCTACCACGAGCCATGGGATGTGGAGACTTCGTGGAGCTTCTACACCGAAAACATGGTCTGCTCGTGGGACAGCGTTGTTTGGTCAGAGGCGAAAGCCGAGATGGACGCTTCTGGCTTCTGGAGAGTCTCGACGCGGACCCAACCCCCCTATTATGAAACATTCCCATTGAGGTTTACCATAATTCAGAGGTAGCAGATGAGGGGTAGTCATACGTTGCAATTTTGTCAGACATTGCCTTTGTTGAGTCATTTTTTGATACTGCTGTTACCACTGTTCCTGTCACTACTGCTTCCACCTATTGACCTTCTGCGACTAGTGCTGCTAGTGCTTTCATCCCACTTATGCCTCACAACAATCATGCTCGGGGCATATCTTGACGTCATGTCAAACCTGATGCACGAAGATTGTATCGTTGCCAGGCAACAGTTCAACGAAGCACGAATTTCCAAACCCAAGGGGCCCCATGGAATTTCTTTTCAGAGCATGTCCTACCACAGGCCTGACCCATGTGGAAGCTGCAACGCTGTAGTCTCCTCATGCGTTAGAAAGCTGTAATCTCCTCGTGCTGGTGCGGGTTCTTGCTTATTCGCTGCTGATGTCCCCTTACATTCCTTCTGCATCCCCTGCATGACTGTAGAAATACTGTAGACTTCCATAGCCCCCTACATCTCCAACATCAATGTCTTCAATACTCCTACTTGCTGGTGCAGTGGTTAGTAGGGAATCAGGGAGTCCGATCCCTGGATAATCCTACATAACGAATTCCCTTCTTCCTTACTAACCCTAAACCAGCAAGCCTTCTCAGGACTGGCGAGCAAATCTCCAAGTCCCACGAGGATGTTTCTTGGAAATGGCTGTCGTCCACGCACCACGCCATAGGTGATGCCGTCTTCCTTCGACCATCTCAAATTGGCTTCACCCAGGATTCGGTTTCCTTTAGATTCCGTGATGGTAGAACACTGGAAGGGCTCTGGCAAGAGCTCTCCACCCGCAAACGCAAGCGTGAGGTGCAAATGTGTTCAAAAAAGGGATACCCGCTTGGATCATGGACTCTTCAAATGCAAGACGTTTCATCCCTGATTCTCACATAAACGTAAACCCCAAACCACGGGGCTGCAGGTGGATCTGATTCAGGTTGTGTTCGTAGATGGCATGTTCTATGCGCTGGACAACCGCCGCCTTGCCGTCTATCGCGTTTTGGAGATGGAGGGGAAGTGTAGCAGAATTAAGGCAATCCTTGCTTCTGAGCCAGAGAACATGCGCCACAAGTTCACAACGAAACTCCGGCTGGCACTATGAATTATGCTTCTAGGAGCCCGGACCCTTAGCCTTGAAGCCTATAAACCCCCAACCAAAGACTTAAGCCATAAATGAGTTCATAACCCTAAACCCTAAGCCCAGTGTTTTTGGCGTGGGGTCCAACAATGAGGGGTCAATCAACTTGTGGACTCGGGAATGTTAAGCCCCCCTAGTACCCTGAACTGGGGTCACATGGTTTAGGGTTTAGGGTTTTAGGGCCCTTAGTCGTAGGTACTTCGGCCTAGATAGAGGGTAGTTGGAGGGTCTAGGTCCAAGTACTTTGGAAATTTGAACTGCGTGTACAGCTCTTCCTGCAGCAGCCGATTCGAGATCCCAGAATCTCAAGAACAGGGGATTTCTGATGGCTCTGTAAGAACGTTGTAGCTTCTGTAACTACGGACCCCCAATATAGATTCCAAAATACGAAGAAATCCTTATGATAGTACCGTACTCTCAAAAAGATAACCCTAATTTTTGGAAGCAACCATGTAGGAAATGCGATGGCGAATGGGCAGATATCCGCGGGCGGTCCGAGTGGATTGGCAGAGACAAGAGCGAAACAGCAACCCGTCTGCTCTTCATACGGTTGACACCAGAAATTCTGCAGGACCCAAAGAGCCTTTTGGGCTTTATGGTTCAAGGCTGGACCTTGGGAATTATGGTATTCTAGTATACAACAAAAGTCATGCAGGATTCGTAGAATCGACAGCAGTACTCCAAGGAGAGTTGGGGTCGGAGATATTGCTTCACAATGATACAAGCTTTATTGCAGTTCCTGGACCCCCCAAAAGCCTTAAACAGATCTAGGAGGTCTTATTGGGGACTCTTTGCACTCTTTAGAAGGTACTTGGTGGGTTTTCTGAGTCCAGGCTCATTAGGAGGGTTTAGGGTTGAAGTGTTCACGGGTAGGTTGAGAATAGTTTTCATCATCCCTTTCAACCCATGACGACTCTACCTAATAGGACCTTCCGAACCTAGCCCGGTTAGTTTAGGGCAGGGGCCTCATTTATCCGATTTTGGTGTAGGACTGCTCGCTGTGAAAAGAAGCGGCTATTTCTGAGTGATTGATGTTTTTGTTTGACTTATTCGTGGTTAGTAGGGAATAACGGAATATATTTTGGAGGGACGATATTCCCTTTCGTCGTTACGAACCACCAGTAAATTTAGGGGTCTTGCACATTAGAAATTTGTGGATTTCAGTACTTGTGAGTCTAGTGAGTTTTGACCACGGCGTCGTAGGAAACTGCTCCCGCGCCAGGGCTACTGCTACAAGATTCCTCTTGAGCACCCTCCTTTTGGACATCTCCATGTGGGCATGCTTCGACCTACCTAATAATCATATACTTACCCCAAAACTTGTACTATGATTACTATTACCCAAATCCCACGTACCTAATTATTGGGTACATGGATCCTAAACCCTAAACCCTAAACCCTAAATACCCCTATATATCCCCCTATAAAGGGGACCTAATGATTGGCTACTGTCATACATTGACAAGAAGTGGTATTTACGACCGTTGCCTTCATGGCGACAGGCGATTAAACTCAGCCTCCGGGTGGCAATATGAGCTATAGTCTAAGCTCCTTAAAGGGGGGTTATATAGGGGATTATATATGGGACTACTATAGGGATTATTAAGGGGTATACTAGGAGTTTAGACTATGACTCATACGGCAATTTCCTAAATAGGGGACCCCAGTTTAGACCCCAATATACTATAATCCTTATTATGGGGACCCCCCCCCCAAAAGGGTACCCCTAATGTTGGGAATCCCCCATATCTTATAAACCTTAGGGTTTAGGGTTTACTCCATACATCCCTGATCACTAAACCCATATGCTTGTGGGCATTGCTCTGTATGTGAAGCCAGGGGTTTCCAACCTAAGGCCCTTTAGGGTTAGGGTTTAGGGTTTAGGGTTTGGGGTTTAGGGTTTAGGTCGATATTAAAATCTTGCATGACCTTAGCTTACTGGTTCTTTGAATATATTATAATCTTTGTATAATATGTTGCCTTATTCCCTATTAATAACAAGTATCGTACATATTCAGAATTAAGGAGTATATGCACTTCAGTACGAAAAAGTCATGCAGGATTTTCGGCATCAGCTGTAATGTTCCCACAAAAGTTTGATCGCCTAAGCTAGGCCCTTTCAGGATGAAAAAGGCACCGTTTAGGATCTAGGGTGCAGGGGACAAGGGCAACTCCAAGTAGAGATATATGTCCACAAAGAACGCTTCAGCTGGGTAGTCATAAGTACCCTTACCCTGCCTGCGCTTAGAGCTCATCTGCAAAGACTACGTCGAATAAGGCCTGAAGGACCATAGATCTACATAGAAATTAGGTAAGAATATGTAGGGTTGGTGCCTATTCAAGGATTATCTAGGACTGATTTTGGGATACCACTTTCAACTCCTCGTGAACCCTAGCAGCACAGGCATGTTGGGCGCTACCCGGGCTGGAAGATACGGAGGCACGACGCAAAGTGGCTGGAGTCCATATATGGAAATGCTGTTTTTGCCTCAGTTGGTCAACCTAAACCTTGGAGGGTTCAGGGTTCAGGGTTTAGGGTTTAGGCTTTAGGCTGCAGAGTTAGGAGTTCATCAAAACAATCCTTACAAAGTCCTCAAAGACCCCTGTAATCATCTTATCTTCCCAATATGTCCTCAGCTCCGCCAGAGCTCTCTATTTCGCGAATCTATTGGGTCTAGTGTTCTGGGTAGGCCCCTGGGATATTTAATATTTTCCCTAATGGCGTTCATAAGGGACCCTATAATCCTAATATTTTTAAAAGGGGTTTAGGGGCCAACCCCGTGTTTAAGGCTAAAGTTTGGGATGAGTAGATCTTTGGACGAAAGAAAGAAAGAAGGCACTGGAATCCGTGGAACGTAGTAACCTTATTCTACATGGCAAGAGAGCATAGGAGAAACTTGCAATGTCTGGGAAGGCTGCCAAGTCTTGAAATGGTTTATGTGTTTTTCTTTAGCCAACACACACTCATACACACTAATCACATGTTTAGTCTTGGCTGGAGAGACTAAGGAGGCGGGAGCTTTCGTAGTCCATCGGGAGGAAGGCCTGGGAAAAGTCCTTGGGCCGGCGGCAGATCCAGATTGGGGCGATGTGTCCGTAGAGTTCCAAGATAAGGTGGAGGACGTATTTGCTGCGGAAATTTCTTTGCACAGACGTCCACTCATGACCCTCGCGCAGAAAAAGAATTTCCTGGCGCGCGCAAAACGCCTCGGAAAGCTGCTCTGTCAGAACATGTGCTCCTGTGGGTGTGAGGAAGTCTGTGCGAAACCTGTGTGCGTTTGCGGAGGGCGCGGAACTCCATATCACGATGACGGCCGCTACTGCTGTGCCTGTGCCGAAGAGCTTGGTCTGGACTTGGGCAAGTTTGCGAATTCTGATGAACATTTGCATGCAGGACATGATCATTGCGGATGCAGCCATACACAGAATGATTCTGATTCAGAATTTGAGCTCTGAGATTTTGAGGCAGAAACCAAGAGATTCCCGAGGAATTGAAATCTCTTTTTTTAATGATTTAGATGATTCCTTCCGTGAGATATTCATAATCGAGATTCTGTCATTCATAATTTCTCAGCCCAAGGAGCCGATTCTGATAAGAAATCCAATCATAAAATCTTAAAGATTTATATTGAAGATAGAATATTTTTTTCAAATCTAGTTAATAAAGATCATCGGAATTTCCCATTTTCATCTAGATGAATTTATTTATGATAGATATATAAGATAGATTAATATTCGCAATCTCATTGATAATCGAGAATTTATTTTGGATAATGATAGGAGATTTTATTCGATATAATTCAAAATTAAATATAAATATATATAAATTAAATAAATAAGAAGAAATTTTCTTAATTAAATTAGAAAAGAAATTACGCGAACTTAATGATAATAAGATGAGATTGATAATACGATTTCAAAAATAATATGAATTTAGAAATGAAATATTGATATGAAATGCTATTTCTTTTAGATATATATAAATATTAAATATATCTATGACAAATATATAATATTTATATATGAATATTTTTTGATGATATAAATAAATTCAAAAAATACTAAATATATTATTATTATTAATAGTTAGTTCGCTTGCGAGCGACTCATTTTTTTCGATTCATGATAAAAATATTTCTAGTAGGCTCGTAGATTTTCAAATCTCTGAGATTTTTGATATAGCTGGGACGATGCATACTCTCGGAGATTTTTAGATGCCCAACCTTCATTTATAGATTGATTTTCTATATGCTATATTTATCTTTGATCGAATATAAGATTGATCAATAGATTATATAGAATAGATTCGTGATAGAGAATCTAAATTTCTCAGAATTTTTAGATTGATCCTATATATCCCTAGATATTTATTCAAAATGAAAGATAATGAGGCGGAATGATTGGATCGGATATTGGGGCCGTTCAAGCATAAATTTAAATTATTCTGTGATTTTGGCTAGTTACGCGGTGGTTTGGCGGAATACGAAGATCTGAGATAGAGATCTAAAATCTTTCAATTTATCTCTGGAGCGGTATTCATATTATGAATTATCTCTCTTTAGCTATCTGCGTTTCTTATTCGCAAGAGGGAGAACTAAAAAAAATCAGAATCTATATATTGACGATACATTTACGGGGATTTATTCGTTATTCCGAAATGCCGCGCAAATAGTCCAGGAGAGATATATAAGAAGGAAAGATTGGAGCGGATGCACGGATTGTGCCCCAATATTTCTCGAGATTTCGAAATATTTCTCTCTCTTTGGTTGTCTGCGCGGCGGCTTGATAGATATTGGAGATCCGGGGCGGAGATATAAATTTTTTCAGAATCTATAGGATGCCCGTCTTGATCCCATACGCTCTTTTATATTGATCGTTCATTGGATGAATGGGCGATTTCAAATATTGATACGGATATTTCATTATAGATATTCTCAAATAAATATTTTCCGTTATTGCAGACGGCGGATCGACTCTAGAATTTCTATATTTGATTAGAATTTATGTAATGGCTATCTCGTTGATGATCAAGATAATGAATTAGAAAAGAAATGAAAGAATATATTTTTTTATTAAAATTGTTGGCAAGACTCCCGTTTCAATACGTATTTTTTCAAGGCAGATCGATATGGGATTGGAGAAATATTAGTTTATAAGAAATAGATATTGAATTAATAAATAAAGAATATTCTAGATTTTTATCGTTAATTTATCATTGATGAAAGAAAAATATATGATTTCATAGATGCGTGACGCGCATAAGACTGATTTGATCGAGATCAAATTGAATTACGTATTCCTGATATCAAAAGAGATTATGCATTAATTATAGAGATATTATTAGAAAAGATATTGAAAAAGATTTCAGAGATTGAATCGTCGATATTGATATTGAAGAAGGAAATGAAATCGATCTAGAAATTGAATGAATAGAAATTCAAATTATATCGTTAGATAGATATGAAGATTGATAAATATAGAGATAGATTCAAATGACGAGAAAATCTAGAATAATAATTGATATTCAGAATATTATAATTATATTATCGCGATAATATGAGATCTAGGCAAGATAATATATATCATAGAAAAGATAAAGATTGGAATCCCAATATCTTAATATTCTCCAAATAGAATATCTATAATAGATATAGATTAAAATAAGAAATATTCATTCAAATATATTCTTTTTTTATCGAATCTGAATATATTATCATCTTATTGAATAGATTTATTATTTTCAAATGAAAGTTATCTATTGAGATCATATTTGATATATTAGATAGAGAAGAAATCGAATTAGATTTGCAAATGGATGAAATAAATGAATATGATGATGATGATAAATCGGAAGAAATAAATGAAGAAATCATGAATTTATCAAAATTATCAGAAATGATCGATCATAGACCTTTAAAATTATATAAAATCATAATCGTATTGATAGAAGATGATAGGCAGATACGAGCAATAAATTATTATCTATGAATATATTCCGTGATATAGATGATCTAAGGCGCGCAATTCATTTTTTGCCAAGAAAATAATTTTCAGGATGCTAAAGAAATTGAGAAATTTGTTGAGAGGTCGATGACGGAAATTTCCTGGAGATGATTCTAATTATGAGAGATCCCAAGAAGTATATCATCTGAAGATTTCGTATTCTATCTTCGACGTCTCTTCTGTTAACTCATTGTAATGACGAGATTCTATTTCAAATATCTTATTATTCATGATTTCAATCTTATAATTTCTATAATGAATTATAATTACGATATATAATCGATCCTATTTTTGGATTTAGAATCTATAATCTATCTATTGAGAATATATATTATCAATTTTGATTATCATAGATATATCTTGATCTAATTGAAGATATATATCTGATGATCTGATGAAAAAAACGATATCAAAGAAGATATTGAAGAAGAAGATCAAATGATCCAGAAGATAAAGATATAAGACCGAGCCGCAGAGATCAAAACGTTCGCAAAAGAGAAGATTTTCATTTGCAATATAAATTCAATCTAAATTATCTTCAAATCTTCTTCCAAGATTTATAAATTGATTTTAGGGTCCTTCTCCAGATCTTCTAAATATCTGAATCTTTGTTCCGGCGCACGCAGCTTCGCAAAATTCATAAATTTGGATCTCTGGCAAATATCTTTCTTTTCATATTCATTCTTTCTTCCTATTTATTCAATTTTCATATTATCCCTATATCTGCGCAAGAAATTTATTGATTCTTCATTGATTCGAAAGTTTCTATAAATTCTTAGAAATATCTTTCTAAAGACATCCGATATTGATTATATTAATCAGATATTTTTTTCATTTCCTTTCGAAAATATTCTTATCTAGAAATTCTCCTATATCCTATTTTGATATCGTATTTTGATCTGACGATCTCCCCGATATTCGTTCTAATATATCTATCATTTTCTGGATAAAGATACGCCTATTTATCGGCATGAATCTACGATCTATATCTGCAGGCTCAAAAAATTATGCAGCGAATAGGAATCTAAAGATAATTTATAGGATTTAGGAGAAGAATTTAAAAGCAATTTAGAAGAATAAAAAATCTAAATATTTTTTAGAATAGAAAAGAATTTAAAGATAATATAGAGGATTTGGAAAAGAAATTTAAAGAAAATTTGGAAAATCTGCAAAAGGAATTAAAAGACGATTATGAGATGGCAAGCAAGAATAGAAAAAATATAAATTATCAAGATGATGAGAAATAATAATAATCTTATATAGAGGATATCCGAATATAATAATAATCGTCCTAATGATGTTTAATTTTTATTATCCCTTTTCTTAAAATGATTAATTCAAAATTCAATCATATGGATATTCAAAATAGAAGATCAGATCTCAATATTCTCGAGGATGAGAATATTGAATTGATCAAAGCATCCGAAATTATTATCATCTAAGACGATTATATAGGATAAAATATAGAAATTCATATATTCATTCGAATTGGTAATTGATTAATTGGCATCTATCTAAATTCTAAAAGATAGCTTGATAATTCCCTAATATATCCAATCGGAAATTGCCCGATCAATTAATCGATTTTTTGAGGCATCCGCAAGTTGCAAGATCCTGCGTATATTTGGAGCTTCCGCGTTGGAAATATAACCAATATCTTATTCTATCCAATTTCCAGTTGTCCAAGCAATTGATTTTTTGAAGGCATTTTTCAAATGCCTTCGAAAAAATCAATTTGCTGGCCAATAGGAAGTCATAAGAAAATCTGGGATTTGGTCATCTAATATATTTGGGATTCTCGGATTGTAATAGAAATAGATCTTATTGAACTAAATTTGCCAACTTTCCAATCAATTGATTGATTCTTTATAGCTCTCCTATAAGAGATCTTGATAATCTCAATCAATTGATTGCTCAATAAGAAATCATAAGATATTCTGGAATTTGGTCGAATAAGACGGAATATCTATAATATTCGGAGGAAGGAAATAGATATTCTGAATTTGTAAAATAATATTCCTTATTTTTGATATTTCATATATGAGCTCCGCAGATTCAAATGAGATTATAATATATTTTGCAGATTCAAGAGATTGGGAACGAGAGATATAGAAAATTGATTTTAGATTTCAAATCTCCATAAATAGAATGAGAGGCGTCAAAGAATTCAAGATCCCGGTTCAAAGATCTCGTATGAAGGGGGATAAAAGCGAGATATTCAGGAAAAATAATTAATAAAAGATAGATATAGAGAAATATGGAATCCAAGAATCCGGTCAAATGAATCTATAAGATAAAAATATATGAGAGAAAATAACGAATCTAGGATTCCGGGATAAGGAATCTATATGAAAGAAGAGTAAGAGAGATATACGAAGATAAGATGAGATAAAGAATCTATCAATCCGATAAAAGATTCTCTATCAAGATAGATAAAGGGAATCAAGGAATTC